GTGTGCACGTACACACTTTGCTGGGAGAGGATTCTCAGCACAGTTTTTGTCAGTTTTTGCGTTTGTTGAATGTGTAGTATTGAAATGCCGCCCAAGACGCATCACTTTATCTTGTGTAGAACTTGAATCATCATGTTGCATGATTTAGTAAATGAAAAGAGATTGTGAAAGAGACAACTGTAAACATTCTGTTTGGAAAGATGTGCTCTTTTCAAAAGACCTTTCTGTTAGAGCCAAATAACACAAGAGGCAAAGTTTCCTTGTGCACAGAGACACTTATATTTATTTCTGCAAAGATTTGTTTTGAATTCTCAGTTCTTCCAGTATCTGCATTCTTTGAAAAAAATTTTATGTTTCAGTGTTGACTTTCTGTATGCTCTAAGTTTTAATCAAAAGTTCCTTGCTTCTGATGTTGAGGAGTACTGATGTTAGCCTGTTTACATTCCACTATTTTTTCTCTGTTAGGAGTGAACATTCAAATTGGGTAGTGCCTTTTTGCTTTTATCTACCAAACGTAGCACACACTCTTATTATTGACAGCTCAAAAAGATGGCATGCTAGTGGGCAGAATGCTGTGAATTATTAACTTTTCTTTGCACTTTGATTAGGTTATCTTTGTAAAGATAAATAATTTCTTATGAAGGAACCAAGTCTGTAAATAAGGTGGTATAAACATAGGTAAGACAAATTTTAGGCAAATAGTTTTTTAATGTATTTCTAAAACACAATTCTCAATTACATTTCTTTCACAGGACTTGCATTTTCTCATGTCACAGTCTAAAGTCTAAGAGGAAAGATTTTTTTGGTGATGTTTCGTTTAGATTTTTTTTCCCCATCGTGTTTATCTACATGGATTGATCAACAAAGTGTTAAAGAATGTGTATTACTACTGAAAATCCCCTCTACGTTTTTTCTTAGAAATGTCATTTTACAAAAGCTATTTATTTTGTTATTTTCATGAAGAGCCTGCACTCAACTAATTTGTGAGCAGGTAAAATGTGCGTATGTTTGCCAGAAAACTTGTCTATAATCAGAATAGTCAGCAGGACAGAAACCACGCTCTTTTTCTCATTAGGTATTAATCTTTGTCCACTTAAAAAAAACCAAACACAAATGCAGCACTGATTAATATATACAAACATGAATGAATCAGAGCATATGTCGCACTTACTTGAGTTAATGTTCAGGTTGTGCTGGAAGTCCCAGCCCTGGCACCAGAAAGGCCTCTGCAGTCAGGAAGAACTTTGAATTGCTGGGTGGTAGACAGCAGGAGCAGTGTCAGCCTTGAAGCAATTAACAGGAAGACTGAGGAATGTTGATTTCAACTGCAGGATGACAGCCAAACAAAATGGGTTTGTGCAAGGTGTACAGTAAGGCAGGCAGCAGGGTGAACACAGGTTGGTTAGAAAATGCAGTACTGAAAATATTCGTGAGGAGTTGCGTTGGAGATACGAAGTTACTGGTGTCAACAGTAATTACTGATAGGGCCACATACGTATGTCTAAAAAGCTCTGGAATGAGGTAGAACCAGGCAGTAGCATTCAGATTCAGTCGTTCAAACTTCCATCCTGTGGCAGTGCATCTGTTTATCAGGAATTATCTCCTGAATGTAAATGAATTTCAGTCCTAAGTCATTGCACCTGTTGCCAAGAGGTATTTATTCCAATCACTTGCCTAAAGCACAGGGAGTTATCGCTTCACATTTTATAGCTCCAAAAAAAGCTGTCGTTTCAAAATCATTTGTTCAGAGAGGAGAAAATGGAGCAAAACAGTTCATTTTACCCTAAGCACTGCTATTTGGCGGCATTCACATTTGCACGGCACAAAGCTGCAATATTGATTTTTTTTTTTTTTGCTCACAGGGCCTCCCACTAGTTCTTTCTTCGATTGTCAGGGTTGCAAGAGGGATTGAATTACACTTTTGCTTGTTGATATGCCTTTTTTTTGTTGTTGTTGTTGATCAGAAAAGAGTACAAATAAAGCTTCAGAATAAAGATCACAGCAACTTTGTTAGTGCACTTTACATTTATTTATTTTATTTAGTTAAAATTTGGTGATGTGGAGATTCCTTAGAGTGGTCTCCCCACCTAATACATGCTGCATTATTGTGCTTTACTGCTTGCTGCTTTTGCAATATAACATATTACGTTACAATCTCAGGTGTGTCCTTTGCTGCCTATGAAGTGATCTAACACTTCTCTAGTATTTTTAATGTTTGTTCTAATACAGAATTTCTCATGGATGCCTGCAGGGGAAAAATTGCAAGATAAAACACATTCATAGTACTTATAGCAGTTGCCATAGATGATGAAATAAGATTTTCAGACAAGCTGATCTCTGTAGCGAACTGTCTTGTATTTGGATTCAAGGTACCTCCTAGCAGAAGTGGAGGGTGCAGCAGGATCTGCAGTAAGAGTTCAGTGCTTGTCACAGGTAGCTCGGATTGGGTGTCTCAGCCCTGGCCCCGTAACGTCATACGTGTGTCGTGCTGCTGCAGACACTGTGTGGCAGCCACCAAAACCCCTGTGGCTGTACTCCGTGCACCCTCACCCCTACTTGCTCTGCCTTCTTGCAAAGAGCCCCTGTGGACAGCTGAAGCCACTGTTCCTCTCTTTGCTGATGGAACACAAAAGTGGGGCTGTGCAACCCATGTGACAGCACCTGCGGGGCTCCTGTGGGAAGCAAGAAGGGCAGGTGGGAGGGGGCAGCCAGGCTCCCTGGGCTATGCCATGGCAGTGCTGTGTGCTGAGGGCAGGAGATAGAGGCACCATTGCTGCCAGCTTGGAGGGATGTGCTATATGTGGACAGTGTTAAATTTGTCAGGAAGAGGTAGCATGTAGGAATGGCAGTCACTAGCAGCGTTACATTCAGTCCCAACGTGGCTGTTGTGATGGTAATTAATCAAAGGAGCTGCTATATGTACGTGCGGTGGGGGCTTTGTGCATACCCCTCTCTGTGCCCATTTCACACCCTCACTGAGCTGTGAGCAGCTCCTCCCTTCATTGTATTAATTTGCTGCATGGGAGGAACATGTAGGGTGTTAAAGCGATGGATTCATGTTTTAGCTCTTTCCAGCTTTCAGCTCCTGATACTTCAGCAGGCCTGTAATAAAAGTCCTTGCTATTACACATAGTATGTGCAGCCAAACCTACAGCCAGTAGGGAATCTGAGATGGAACTGTGTTGCCTTGCACATCAATGTGTGTCTATTAACTTATACTGGAACATATTGGCAGAGTAATGGTACTGGTTTCACGTAGGATATGCTTCCACAAAATATACAGTAAGGGCAGTCGTGGCTGCTGTGCTCTGGCCTTCCCCTTCCACTCGTGCTCGGGTAAATTCTTCCCCAGCCAAAGAGCTTGTCCGTTGAGACCTCATTGGTTCTTCTGCAGTAGAGGGAGGCTTGAGTCAGACCAGCCCCTTGAATTTGTTCACTTCACGAGTTGGACAGAAGCTGGTGCTGGTGCAAAGGGGAAGGCAGGGGCATGCAGACAGAGGAGGGGGAAATGGGAAGATGGGCTGCCAAGGAGCCACATCTTGACACTGGAGTGATCATTATCAACAACTCCTTTTTGCAGTCCTTACAAATAATAATCTTCATACAGTAGGAGTTTTAATCTGCAGATCATTAATTCAGTAGAAAAAGTGACAGCCTTTGGTTTGTGTGAATTTTTACTATCAAGGGATTATCTCAAGTTGTTCTTGATCTTTTTAGATCCTTGCTTCCTTGTCTTTTCTAACTTATCTTCCTTTTTAAGAAAAGTTTATTTTCTTTGCCTTCAAAACACTGTAGAGCTTCAACTTTCCATACGTGCTAGCTATTTCTCTTTGCTGTCACAACTTACTTGCAGCAGCCTGCACTGAAATATTTATGGCCTTGTCCTACTGTATTAGGCTGACTTCTTTTAAAATAGGAAATATCTGTAATTCTGCTGAAAATTTAGGAAGGATTTACTATTTTAAAGAAATAGCTAATTAACACCACCATGTTACCCAGCTTGTCTTCCAAAAGGCAGTAAAGCACAACGTTTTGTAAGAAACAGAAATAACATTTTAGTAATAATCCAGTAGCAACTGTGTGCAAGGAAGTGTAGTATGCAGATACGTTTTTTCCTGACACAGTATTTTTTGCATGAAGACATGTCTGTGAAAGACTAAACATCTGGTTGAATATCTGAACCATTGTTTTGTTTCTGAAGTATTTTGTACAGCTTTGTTAGAGAAGTTACCAGTTTTTAGAAAATCTCTCACGCAGAAAAACATGTTAAAAATGAGAGTTCTGTGAAACACACATTAATTTTGGAGGGATGGGGAAATTGTTACACAGTACACAACTTCAGTTGGCAGTACTGGTTCAAAATATTATCTATCTGTGGTTTAATTTACATGAAAGGCATAGTAGGGAACACTGAAGTTCAACTAGGTAAAGCATCAGCAGGTATATTAGATGTGGTGGCACAAACATATCCATGCTGGGGACATAAAATAGCTAAGGAAAATAAACCAACTGGTCCTGGAGAAGGGAAGATACAAATTAAGACAGAATAAGTTGGAACTATGACTTTGAGGATTGGTTTGTTTTGGGTTTTTTTTTTAGTCACTTTGGCATTTGCAAATCCTGCCTCCTCTGCTGCTTCCCACTTTCAGACTTAGCCTGACTGACTGCCCAAAGACGGAGAAAAAAGCAGAGAGAAAAGAGGTAGGAACAGAAACAGTCAATGTAGCTGTGCAGGCAGGTGTCACTTTTTGCCCTTACAAGGATTAGAAGAAGTGAAGGGGAATTTCCTCCTTTACCAGGTTAAGGACATAGTAGCGATAGTATAGGAATGTGAGAGTATCGTAGAAGATGCTTCACTTAATGTGGTGCCAGGTCAGACTGTTTGAAGTTGCGCTTCCTTTAGCACAGTGATAAAAATTAGTGCCTATTTAACAGAGAAAAGAACAGTTCAATGTGATACCTCCTTTAGGCTCAATCTCATTTCATTTTTCTTTTCTCAGGTTTCAGCCGAGCAGCACTACCGTTTGGTTTGGTTAGAAGGGAGCTCTCCTGTGAAGGCTACTCCATTGACCTCCGGTGTCCAGGGAGCGATGTTATTATGATAGAAAGTGCTAACTATGGACGAACAGATGACAAGATTTGTGATGCTGACCCTTTCCAGATGGAGAACACAGAATGCTTCCTTCCAGATGCCTACAAAATTATGACACAAAGGTAAAAATATTATCATTTTGATGACTGAAGAGGAAAAATGCCTGAATTAATACAGTAAGAGGTACATACTGTTGAAAATGCTGAGTTGTAGTTGCCAGCTTGCTATCAAGGTAGTATTATTTCTATCTATTAATATTAGAAGGAAATAAAAACTGCTAGTTGCAATTAGAAAGATTTTAAAAAAAAATCTGTGAGGAGAATTTAAAAGGCAGGAAGATAACTGCAAGGAGAATGGAACAATTCACTTACTTGGAGACTCCCTGTCTCCTTGTCTTTTAGGTGGCCAAACAGCACACTAAATGTGCCCTAATGACTGCTGATTTTTCAGTAACTTCTGCATTCCTTAGCAAGTTACATGTTTCGTACAAATGAAGTAAATTATTTTCACAGTTCCCACCTGTAAAATACATCCAATGGAAAATGCCAGAATTGTTAAAGCCCAGGATGGTTTTATGTCATTTCTGCATGTGTGTACAGAAGCCTATATGCGTATAAACATAAGTTACATTATGTCTTAGTGGCAGCAGTTGTCATTCAGAAAAGACAATCCATCAGAAGAGTGTATGAAAGTGTTTTTACCACAAAAGCTGCATCAGAACCAAGATTTCACAGTAATTTCTATGCTACAGGCAGCAGTCACCTAGTACTGACATTTTTGGAAATGTCGGCATAGATCAGTCATTGGCGTTGCTACTGCCTTAAACTAAAAGCCTTGAATAAGTTCAGGATTGGTGCGAAATTTTCCTCCCAATAAATTTTTCTTGGAGTAAGAAATCTGAACAAAAAGGGAATGGAAATAAGCTGGGAGCTTTGTGGTGTATGTACACAGACGTATCAAATGAATCATAAATTTGCCCAGCATGCTGTTCTCCTTTCACTGTGTTCTGTTGGAGCATGGTAGCACTCAGGAGCATACAGTCACATCTTAAAAATAATCTTCCATCTTGTTTTCCCATGCACTCAAGTGGCCATGAATGTGACTCTTAGGATTCTTTGTCATTTTCATATGAGTGCACGGATGTTCTCTACTTCTGTAGTTGAATATTTGAGCTAGATGTCAGGCTTCAATTTCAAATGCTGTAGAGAAATTACGGATATCGGATCAAATCCTTGTTCTGTGTTCAACCTGTGACATGTTCTGTGATCAGTAAGGGAAAGGCTCCGTTGCTGTGCTAGTATAAAGGTAATACAACTTTTTAAAGTCATGTTAGAATTATCTTTTTGTGGTTCTAGTTTGTTGTTGTTAATTAGATCAAGCCAGATTTCCATTGAGACTGCAGCAGCAATGTCATCATCCTCTAATCTGTCAACTCCCTTTGAAACCACCTTCAATTGCTTTTGTAAATGTAGTGCCTCTCTGTAGACTTCCTTGTTGTGTAAAATGCATGTTGTGTTTTGATCAAAGTCCTCCTTATGTTCACTGCAAATACACAGATTAAGGTAGTCAGAGACAAATGTAGAGGCACAATCTTGCTTAAAGTGACATTACACTGTTACTGGAAAACTGCAATTTCAATCCTCCCCGTTCAATTAACTGACTGTAAGTTTATGATAGCAGAGAGTGTTTTTGAACTTCCCCAGTCTTCCACTCTTGCCCTTTTTTCAGCAGATTAAAATGAAGTTGTAAACACATGTATTACATCGATACAGAAGATCTATGCTCAGAGAGTTTTTCAGGTTCTTGTTGTTATTTTTGGGGTTTTGTTGTGTTGGGTTTTTTTTCTGAAAAAAATTGCAAGATTGTTACTTTGCTTTCTATTTTTGTCTGGCTCTTATAGTAATTTGGAAGTTTGCTTTTGTAGTTTTCTTTTCTGCTTCTGTCATTAAGTAGAAAAGATATCTCTTGTGTTGTTTAATATTTTCTTCAAATTGTTCAATTTGTGCTATTGCAAGCATAGAAGAATACTGTCGAATTTAACTGCATTAGTGATCATAATTTTTTGTTGTCTAAGTCAAACTGTTGTTTGGTACTCAGCATATATCCTTGTTCTGGTATCTAAAGTATCACATCAGCTGTATTTTGATGGCAGCAACTGCATAGAAAAATCTCACCTGGAAGGCCTGTGAGATTCATTGGTTTGTTTGTTATTTTTTTTTCCTTCTTTTTCTTTTTTTTTTTATTTTAGCTGACTAGGAAAAACAAATCTGTTAGAACATTTGATCACAGTGATCTTCCATACCTTTAGAAATAAGCAGCAATAGATTCCAAACAGCTACTTAAAATCTTACAGTGTTTACTTTTAAGGACTAATGACATGTTTTTATCATTGCAGCCAGCAGTGTTTTCACCACAGCGTTTGACCAGTCAATTCTATTTAGACCTGCAGTTAAATTCATTCCATGGCAATTATTAAATTCTCATAATTCATTTGCAACATTACTCCACAGCTTTTGCACAGCAACTACATTTACTGCAGTTACAATGTGAAAACAGTAGTTTAATGAGATCAATACTGTGAAATCTGAAGACTAAAAAATAAGATGAGGTTTCCAGTTGAAGACAAAGCCATGTAATCACATGCCCTGCTCCTTTTCCAGAGAATATGATGTACAGCACATAAACTCTTGCGAGTGTCCATTGATGCATTAGCTCCCCTTTCTCAAAACAAGCTGCTTCTTAATCTTTTCTCCCTCTCTTTTCTTTCTTTTCTGCAGTTCTCAATAGACTTTTAACTTAATGCTTTACTAGGAAGCCTGACTGGAACACTAATGACTTCATTGCTTTGCTTTTACCTTTGTAATGTAGCTATTTAATTTTTAGTCCCTGATTGAAATTACATTCCAAATATTATAGAATAAAGTCTTTCAGATGTATTTAGATTCTGTATAAATTTCAAACTGGCACAATTAAAATTAAAGCTTTGAAGAAAGAGACTAGACCTTTAGAAAATCCCTCTCCCCTTTCACACTTCTCTGATAGTTAACCCCATCGTTTGCATACAGTCAAGTTTGAGACATCCTACCATGTGCTGAAGTCAAGTATAGAAAAAAGTTTATTTCTACAATATTTGGTGAGGGAGTAGTGTGAGTGGCAGAGGACCCACATTTCAGGCAGTTAGATCTTAAAGTAGACAGACTCCTTTGTGCTGCACTATCCTTTAGCAGGGACAAATCCTCCTCTTTTTAAATCAACAGGGAAGCAGAAGATGCAAAGCAGCCTGAGGAAATTGCTCTAGTTGCTTGCTCATAAAGTGTGCATGTGTGGCTGTAAGCAGAAACTACCACGAGATTTTGAAGTTGATAAGGCTAACTAGTACTGCTCTTTATAGGCACAGTGAAGATTTGAAAATTAATGGGATAAAACTGGCTTACAACCTAGTCTGAAATCCATTTCTGTTATAAGCAGACTGCAGGTGGATTGTGTGGTTATATTCAAATAGCCTGTGCATTTATGGGGACATTCTGCCTCCAGTGTCAACTTCAAAGGCCCACTCTGCAGGCTGCAACTGCAGGTGGATGGACCATAGCTTTTTGTTAAGACAGGCAGTAAGGATTACATAGGTAGCACCTAGTACTTGGATTTCTGTGTTATTAGTTTAAAATAAAAACAGATATTTCAAGGTACTTGTAAACACATACTTAAAATACATTTCGAAGGCAAAGGCATATTGTGTACGTAATTTTATAGTGGAACAGTAAGCTGCTAAGGTGTGTTTTTGCATGCTGGGACTGTTCTCTTCTGAATTAAAAATAAGCTTTTTTTAGGAGCAGTCATTTTTCCTAGTCCTAAACTTTTTGTTTAGGAAAACTTCTCAATTATTTTACAGGTTAGGCATTATAAATAGCTCTACAGTTCCAGTATGGTACAATTAGATATTTTTGCTTGTGTACTTAAAATACTTGGGTAGTGTGACAGGTAATAATTTTGAATAATGTAACTTTAAATCTTGATAAATCAAATATTAAAAAGAAGTCATGTCCATTCCAATCTGTACACTTGATTTTTTGAGTAATTTACAGATACCAGCTATTGATGTGTCTTGTAGAAAATTACATTTTGTATTTAAAGGATCATTTAAAGGATCACTTAGGTTGGAAAAGACCTTCAAGATCATAAAGTCAAACCATTCACCTTACTCTGCCAAGTTCAGCACTAAGCCATATCTAGATTACTTTTAAACGCAAGCAGGGATGGTGACTCCAACTACCTCCTTGGGCAGCATGTTCCAATATCTGACAACCCTTTCAGTGAAAAATTCTTCCTAATGTCTAGTCTAAACCTCCCCTGGTGCAGCTTGAGGCCATTTCCTCTTGTTCTATCACCAGTTGCCTGTGAGAAGAGACCAGTTCCTACCTGTTTACAACATCCTTTCAGGTAGCTGTAGAAGGCGATGAGGTCTCCCCTCAGCCTCCTTTTCTTCAGACTAAACAGCCCCAGTTCCCTCAGCTGCTAGTTATAAGACTTGTTCTCAAGGCCTTCACCAGCTTCATCACCCTTCATTGGACACACTCTATCACCTCAGTGTCCTTCTTGTATTGAGGTACCCAAAACCCAGTATTCAAGGTGTGGCCTCACCAATGCCTAGTACAGAGGAACAATCACCTCCCTGGTCCTGCTTACCACACTATTTCTGATACAGGCCAGGATGCCATGGGTCTTCTTGGCCACCTGGGCACACTGCTGGCTCGTATTCAGCTGCCTGTCAATCAGAACCCCCAGGTCCCTTTCTGCTGGATAGTTTTCGAGCCACTCTTCCCCAAACCTGTAGTACTGCATGGGGTTGTTGTGGCCCAAGTGCAGGACCAGGCACTTGGCCTTGTTGAACTCCATACAATTGACCTCAGCCCATCAATCTAGCCTCCCTCCCCTCAGGCAGATCAATACTCCCTCCCAACTTGGTGTCTGTTGTCTGCAAACTTACTGAGGGTGCATTCTACCTTCTCATCAAAATTGTTAATAAAGGCGTTAAAAAGAAGATTTTTTCAATGTCTTTGTCAGCAGTAGCCAAGTGGAGATCAAGTTGGGCTTTGGCCCTCCTAATTTTCTTTCTGCATTGCCT